GAAATGGAACTTTTGCTTTGATGATCTGTATTGACTGTCAGAATAGGGTAGTATCCCAGTCTTGGTAAAGGCAAGCCCATGTTATATGCTTCTTACTAAGAACCGTTCCCCCTTCTTGGAGAAACAAGGCAATATCACTGGACAAATACTTTATATGAAAACAAAATAATCTCTTTATCCATACTGTTATCCAGAGGTAGTATCTCCTTGGAAATATCAGAAGCAAACCCACAAAGAGATGCCCAATAGAAGCTGTGTGTTAACATTTTCCCACCAAAGTAACCCTACCTATAGAGAGTAAGATTCTCTGACCTGTTCCAGCAGACTGGTAACCTGTGTCCCAATCGATCCTGTCCCAATCAATCTTCTTCATGTTCTCGGAAGCTGTATTGTCACTTGAGCTCAGAAACCTGAATCCCTGGTACTTTTGTGGAGACTCATTCCAGTCTTTGGGACTGTTACATTAGTCTGGATTGTCCTGCTGGCCCCAAGCTGCTTTCTGTCTCTCTCTTGTAGCCATCTAGCACACACCAAAACTTCCTGCACTGCAACAGCATGCTTATTATCTGCTTTCCCCCAGGCCAGGTGACTGGCCCAAAGTCACCCAGGGAACCCAACACTGTTTTTCTTCCAACTCTAGGCTCTCTGGCTCAGATAGATGGGCACTGACCTGGAAGGGAGGGGGGCCTTGGGCTCTTCCTCTGCCCCCAGTGGGTGTACCCATAGCATATTGCCCCCAGAAGCTCTCCCACTGCTTCTACAGAAGTTCTCACACAATCCTGGTAATATACTAAGGAGGGGAGTGGGGTGAAGGGTGAGACATTAGTGAGATCCTGGGCACAGAAGCAAGAAGGTAGATTTTGAGAAATGAGCTGAGGTGGTGAAAATGTGGCTGGAATTGCAGATATGGGATTCACTTATAAAATTAGAGTTGTTTTGCTAACGAAGTACTTATTTCCTTCTCTGAATAGGTCACTTAAAAGAATCCCCATTTGATTAATTCATCATTTATCTAAAACCAGTCCTCTGGCATTTAATTTTTCAAATGAGTTATCTCTCTTGCATAAACCTCTGGGATACTTTCTGCTTTCTCTTTAGACTTTGAAAAGCAAGTAATTTGATTTTACACCATGTAGACTTTCAAATGTATCTTTGTCTCTTCTGTTTCCTGGATTCCTTTGGTTTTGTTGTCTTAGAGGTAGGTCATAAACAGTTGATGCTGCCTGTTCATACTGTAAAAACATGACTGTTAAGGCATCTGCACTAAATGATATATTAGTCACCTTGCATGTTTTTGAAGGCTCTTTATAAACAAGATCTTTTTCTGTTGTATTTGTGATTGGTTTCACTGGTTATATTGGATTAGTATGTCCCAGCACCTAGTGATACAATCAAAGAGGTAAGATATCAGCAAACTTTTCCTTTAGAGAACTCCATCTTGAAGCTGGCTTGTGCAGTGATGGCAAAATTTACATCTAGAATTGTATATGAAGTTGGATGTGGAAGGAAAAGAAGGTTGATGCTAATTAAAGTTCATTGCAGTTGGTGGCATGCTTATGTTTTCACTCCCCTCATAGTATGGAAATAACTCTTCTATAGTTATGACCTGTTAATGAAAGTCTTTCTTCCCATTTTTGTTTGGTCTCACTGCTGTGATTCATTCCATTTACCTGTCTCACTTAAAAAAACAAAACAAGGTAGGTCTCTCCAGTTCTGTGTTCTCTTGGTTTCCCTTCTACTTAGTCATCCTTCATGACTGCTGCTAACTTCCTTTGGGCCAATTCCCCTCCCCTATGGATGAAGTTCTCAGCTCTCTGATCTTTCTGTCTCTCTGTTAGTCATCCTTCTTTCTTTTAACCTTGATTTTTGTAAATCTATTAATAATATTACATTTAATTAGCAGTATTTTCTTACTACTAGTTTCACAACTCTGTTCTCTTTGTCTGGGTGAATTCTAATCTCTCCAGAGTCCAGCTTGTGTATGATGTAGCTGTATGACTTTGCATGTGTAACAAAAGTGTGATCACATCCTTCCCATGCAGTTTCACTGATTTACCACTTGTACATTTTAGACTGTATCTCTACTTTTTAATTCTGTACTTTGTTTTGAGTCATTAGCTCAGAGTTGCTATAGAAATTGTGTTTCTAAAGTATGTGTTCTACTTCCATTAACATGTAGGCAGCAGTGCATGAAATCGTACATCTCGGGTGCGTTTACATGTGCAATTAATGTGAAGCGGTAAACTCCAGAGTTTGATGATTGAGTGACTGAATCACTCTGGAGTTTATTGCTCCAGAGTTTATTGTGCCAGGGTGTATCATTTGAATGTGCACCCAGGAGCAATAAACTCTGGAGAAATAAACTTCTGAATTTATTGCTATTTGAACATACACCTGGGATCACAGCACATTGAGCTGGGTTGGAGCAGCCCCAGGTAGCAGGGGACCCAAAGGGTTATCCTGCCAGCCTGGGCTACTCTCCCTGGCTCAACAGGCTGCAGAGGGGCTGGCTGGGGCATGAGGGTGCTTCGTCATGAAGTTAGCTGACAGGTAGCCCCTGAACCAAAGCACCTTTATGCCCCAGATACCTGGGGCAGCATTTACACATGCGCTGTTGTGGAGTTTTTTACTCCACAGAAAGATAGTACTAGTACAAGTACTATCCTGCTGCAGAGTAAATTAGTTTACTCTAACCTAATAGGGGTGCACATGTAGATCTGAGACATTTACTGCTCGGTGAACATCTTGTGTAAGCGTGCTCCTTTTGTTCTCCTTTCTGAAATATAGGTATGTTGTGACAAAAGGTCCAGCAGAGTGTTTATTCTTGGTGGGATATTGATAACCTTGTGTGGGATGATTTGCCATAGAACAATCTTTCAGCTTTATTGTTCTGAAACTGGTTACCTGGAACATCATGGATTTGCTTTGGATAATCCTAATGTTAATTAAGATAATATTTTTCTCACCTCCCTCACTTAGAACTAATAAAGGACAGTCTGCAGAATTAATCAAGGACAATCTCAGGATCTATCAGTGGTTTAGATACAGGGGTTGGGAGAACTGGGGCTATTTTGGCACATGGTCAAATCCTGTTGCCCTAGGATATGAAGGATAAATAAAGGATATGAAGCAACTTCACAGAGGGAACCTTGAAGTCTTTCTCCCACTTGAGCATCTCCTATGAATTTGACCGTAAGCGAACAGAGCAGCCCTCATTTCTATGCAGATAGAAAAGGAGGACTCACAAACACTTTTACAGATTCCTTTGTCCTCAGAGGGAGCTGTAAATTGGCATTTGAGGGTAGGTTTGGATCTGAAGCAGGACTTCCTGGTTGGTAATGAAGTTATTAAACTGCTGTAGCCAGTGCCATATGACAAGATCTGTATTAGGGGTAGAGGAAGATTTGGTTTGGTTTCCATTTCCCCATCTCTTATACACCATAAATAAACAGACAGCTGAGAGATTCAGTCACTCAGTCATCAAGCATACCAGCCCAAGAAGTTTCCTTTTATCATTTTTTTAATTCTCTCACAACCTATCCTTCTGTAGTTGTTGAAAATTTTCAGTAACTGAAACTGATCTTAAAACAAATAAATACTTATCTAAATCCCAGTTAATCCAGAGGGCAGGAGATTGTTATACTTAAAGTGCATACAACCTCAAATGACTTTAGTTAATAGTTGACTCATGTACTGAAGCATGAAAGTTTATATACCTTATGTCCTTTTTATCTTGTCTAAAATAGTAAATTCTTGCAATTCAAATAAACAAATCTTTCATTCACTGTGCTAAAGTCTTAGCTAAAATATGTCTTGTGGTAATGTCATGTGCTAATTGTGCACTGTAAATGTACTTGCTGTTCAGCAGTGTTTATCATTTGGCGTTATTTGGATAGTAGGCCTGTGCGAAGCAGCAGGTATTCGCTTCGGATTCAGATTTGGCTGATTCGGAGGGACAGTAATTCAATTCGGAGATTCGAATCACTGTCCCGATTCAATTCGGCCGAATAGGATCCCAAGATTCAGCGCTGCTTCAGAGATGCAGCCATGGACTAAACAGGCAGTAGTCCTCATCAAACTGGACACAGCTGCCTCCAGCTGGAAAGTCTGTTGTGATGGGCAGAGCGGGGAGGAAAAGGGCATGGGGGAGGGGGGGGGGGGAATTGGGGCTGGAGCTGGGACAAGCTGCCCAGCCGGGGCGGGAAGGTGCAGAACTCGGGGAGGGGAATGGGGGGAGGAGGGGATGCGGGCACAGCAGCGCTGGGAATGGGGGCAATGCCCTGCTGCTGCTTGCCCAGCCAGGGCGGGGAGGGGGATGATGCAGGCACGGCTCGCTCTGGGCAGAAGCGGGCAAGTAGCAGCAGGGCATAGCCTACTCTACCAGAGCTGAATCTTTTCCAAATCGATTCAGAGGCATCCAATTCAATTCAGACCTTTTAATTGGTCTCCCAGTTCAATTCAGATTCGGAGATTTGGCCACCAAATTGGGCCGAATCTCCTCTGAATCAAATCGGATACCGAACCTTCACACAGCCGTATTGGATAGCTTCTTTTTCTCTCCTCTGCTGTACTCCAGCATTATAAAACTGTACTTTAGTTTTTTTCAGGAATGGTTTAAATTACTGAAGGTAATTATATAGAACAAGAACTCTACTGATATGGGGAATTATCCTATTCAATGGCAGGGAGATTTACCCTGAGAATTTGAGTCTGAGGCAAGTCTACAGGCTGTCTGTATTTCACTCAGTCTCTTTCCATAATAGGAGAACACAGCACTTAATGAGAAATTAAAAAAAATAAATTTCATATGTTCAGTAAGTTTTTCTGTTATAAGAAAAATAAACACTTCCATACAATGCATAGATAATTGAAGGAACCAATTGTTACAAGATAAAATTTAACCAAGCATCAAGTCCAATTCAAGAAACAATTAGGAATGAAATGAACAATATTTTCTATATAAATTTGACATGATAATAAGTGTTTGCTATCACCAACTGCCTACACACCAGAAAAGACTTTTCCAGGGCAGGTTATTCTGGATGATGGAATTTATCAAATCTTCTGAAATCACTGGTACCGGACAGTGTTGGAGATGCGATACCAAATTAGATGGAACATCAATTTCTTTCAGCATGGCGCACCTTAACGTTTATGTTTCAGATTTCCAGCTGCTGTCAGTTCCTAGGATTTTTAAACTCCTAATAAACTAAATCATTTCAGGTGTATTTTATCTTGTGCTTTCACTGTACATGCTACAGGTTTTGAAATGTCACTGCTTGGAAAGAACTCTCTGGAGGCTCTGAGAACGTTAGCATTTTCAGAAAACCCTGGCTTGCAACAGTCTGCTGCACTCTATTACTTACACCTGAGCCAACACTGTAAGTTATCCCTATTCAGTGCACTTGAAAATTTTCACATAATTTTAACTCACCCAAAAGTACCTTTTTCCAAACTGTTAAACTCCTGAACAAACTTGATATTATTTGAAATGAAAATGCCATCATAGCCTCAACTGTGCAGGGTATTCTGTGTAATTCTGTTTCTATGTTATAAGAAGAAAATCATGGTGCCCCTAAAAGAACTCTGGTACTTCTGTAAAAAATCATTACATGATGTCACTAGAAAATGTGTGTATGCTGAACCCCCAGAAGTTACACAGCCAAACACACTGGGAGACAGTGGAGAAAACATCCTGCTAGAACTGTGGAGCTCTTTCCAGATGATAGAGAATCAGGGGTGGATTTAGGTGCAAGCTAAGTAAGCTACAACATAGGGCCTCACATTATGAGGGGACTCCTTTTGGTTAGAATAATACACTTTTTTGGTAATGCTATGGGGCCTCTTAAGTTTAACATAATTTAGGGCCCCAGCATGTCATAATCCAGCCCTGTAGGGAACATTCAGAAGCAAGACAATCCACGCTTGCTCCACAGAAGCAGATGGGATAGCCCATGGACAGGAAACAAGAGGCAGCAGAGGACTGCTGGCCCAAAACTGCATACTGAGGCTTCTCAGTATATGAATATGAAGGGAATCCAGAATTTTGAGTAGTGCTTATGAAAGCATGGTGAGGGAAGCTATTCAGAAATTATAAGCAATGAGGGAACAGCAGAGGGAAAAACAGTAGGCAAATATTTTTTTCTACACAGTGGGTGTGTCTACATAAAACTCTTTACTGCACAGTAGATTAGTCTACTGCGCAGTAGAGCTTCACTGTCTACATGTGCATACACTTACGGCACAGTAAATTAGTCTACTGTGCAGTTAGCTACTACCTATAAATATAGGCAGTAAATTAACTGTGCAGTAGATACTATGCAATAAAACATGTGTAGACACTGGCCAGGAGAAAATTTGCTCCCAGTCAGCCTAGCCAGCAGGGAACCACAGGGGTTAGGGAGCTCTCTGTCTGCGGTCCTGGGGTTGCTCAGCTTCCTGGCTCCCCCCAGGAGCTAGGAGCTCATCAGGGCCAGGATTAGAAAGCTCTCTGCCCCCTGCCCCTGATCCCCACATGGAGTTGGCTGCTCCGAGGAGTTAGTGGGTGCTGGGAATCTACGCAGAGCTGGCTGCTCTGCGGGACAGGTGAGGGCTGGATTGCCAGCCCCCACATCCGTCCCTGGACCAGCCAGCTTCATGCCGAGCAGAGCAGCTGCCAACAAGCCCCATGCCCTGCCTACCCTGCAGGAGGCTTACCCTCAGGTGCACCACACCCCAGACAGCTCCCAGCAAATGTCCTGCTTGGCAGGGGATTGCTAGCAGCTGTGTGTCTGAATGTGTATGGGGTCAGGAGAGCTCTGCCTACTGCAGAGGCAGCTCTCTTCTGGCTCTGTGCACATCAGGTCCCCTCCTAAAGTTCAGGGGGCCAGGAGACAGCTGCCACTAGCTGGGCTAGCATGGGCAGTGGGAGTTGGGGGGTGCTGGCTGCTGCAGAGTATTGGGCAGGCAGAGCAGAGTATTGGGCTACTCCCACTGGGAAAAAATCTGTTCCCAAGAGAGAGCACATGTAGACATGCTCCCCTGTAGGCTTACTGAGCAGTATTTTTACTGTGTAGTAAACCTACTTTGAATTAATAGCACATGTAGATGTGCCTAGTGAGTATTCAATGGTTTGTACATTAGAAAATGAATCAGCTTTTCCTCTGGTTTAAACCTGTGCAGCTTCTTGATTAAACAGCATTACATCTACACTTGGAGACTTGGCTTGATTTCATTACAGTTTAGGTGCTTCTTATCATTGAAGACTGGACACACTAAAATCTGACAGGGGGCAGAAGAGCTTCTTCGGTTTCTAGGTGTTGAAAGGTATAGTATCCAGTTATTAAAAGTGAGAGTGATAATATTAGCTGGCTCTTTCAGTGGCACTGGAATCTGATTGAAGTGGAACAGCACCGTACTTGACTATGGTCACATCTCAGGCCTAATCATAGGCCACTTCTCAGACCTAAGAGACATTGCAGTGAATGCATTTCCTTTAATTTATGCAGTGATCAGCCAGCTGACTGAAGAACATTTGGAACCTTATTATGCTTTACTACAGTCCAGTGATGTAGAGGTTCAACAGATGTCTTCCTTGTCTCTTGTCAATTTTTTGCTGGAAGGAAACAGTAAGTAATTAACAATTTTTTCCTGTTCTTGGCAAAAGTAGATATCTCTCTTCATCCAGACTAGATATACAGTTGGAGTAGCTGACCTGGCCCTGCCTTCTCATTGCCTAATTGAGAGGCCCTCCAGCTGTTGTTTCAACAACAAATAAAGTGTTTAGAATCTGACTTTTATACAGTGCTTGTTTGTCACTTTGAAATAACTGGATCTAGGTTTCACATTACTTAGAGAAAAGGGTGATTTATTTTTGTAAGGGTGACTTATTTTTGTGGTTAACAGAATGGCTTCACCCTGCCAAGACCATGGACCTCTGAGATGACACTGCAAGTCAAGGTCTTTCTATTTCCTGTGACAGCAGGCAAAACTTTCATCGAGAGGGTGGAGCAGTCCATGTTATCCTTCTAGGTGGTTATGCCACAGTAGACTTTCCACCACAAGAGAGCTTCAAAAAGAATGTAACTCCTTATTCTTTGGGGATATACTATAAAAAGAGTAAGATGAGTAATAAGAAGCATCGAGTTTAATTAGAATCTATAATCTACAGCAACAGGATTATATAAAGTTAAATAGCAAGAAAATCTAAAAAATTACTCTGTGAAGTTTGTTCTTGAATTAAGCCATTCTAGCCATATGCATCTTGTTGAATGCAAAATACATTTTGCATTGTGATATAAACTCCAAAGTATACTTTTTGCATGGCTAGGATGTATTAGCTATTCACTGTTGTATTTATTTGTGAATAGTAAACAGAGACCTAGTTGTCCAAATGGGTTTACTCGAGCCAATTCTGGAGCTACTTGAGTTGGGGGATTCAACTGTCCAGTGTAACTCCTGCGCCTGCATAATGACCTTGGCTGCCTCAGGTGAGCATGAATCACTTTTGCTTTATTCACTGTAATGAACAAATTCAGCACTTGTATCACACACCTATGTGCGGGCCGGGAGCGACCCGAGCCCTTTCCTGTGCTGCACGCGGGCTGTGGCCAGCAGCCCGGGCACGCCGGGTCGGAGAGGGGAGACCGTCGAGCTGGAATTAGGCACAAACGCTTAGCAGTAGTTTAAAAGATTGTTTACTTACACCGAGATGGCAGTGGTGTAGGCTGGAAAACTTGATTGAGTTGCGGTTACAGACAGACAACACAGATGGTCTCGTGGAGGTTGCTAGGCTCCGCGGAACAGAGCTCCGGATGCTCTGGGTGAACAAGCCACCAAAATCAGAATCGTAGGTATGTCTTATAAAAGTTGCGCTCGAAGACGGGAAGAGGTGGGCGATGGATCAGGTTGCCACGCTCCTCTGAATCTCACAAAGGGTTTCTATTACCCTGCCGTGTATCCAGAGTCCCCACGAGATGGATGTGGAGTCCTCTTCGGCTTGGGCGGAAACTGCTCAAGCCTCTTATACGGCTAACAGGCCAATCGTTAGCCGCCACGTGTGAATAATTTAGAACTAGCCAATAGCGGGGAACAAATTTGCATACCAGTGGCGGGAACTCTTTGCAACGAGCATTTCTGTGCTGCAACAAAGAAATGCACCCTGCAAAGAAAGCTTCAAATTGGCGGGAAATTCTCCCTTGCACCGGGGTTCTCTTTTGCAGCAGAAAACTCCACCGTGCAAAGAAGCTGTAATTTAGCGGGAACAATTTAGCAGTGCCGAAGCACACAAAAACAAAAATCACACCCTTTGGGTTGTGACAATCTACATGTGAAATAGCCTTCAGTTCTGTGCAGTCATGCGATGCATTAGAAAGTTCCAGTATTGACCCATCGATAAATTCAGTCTCTTGACACGTAAGGTTAATTCTCTGAGCAACAGGGAAGGAATCATGAAATCCATCCCTGTCAAAAATGTATTAAGTGCCACCTTAAAATCTGTTAGGTGTTCTGCCCCCACTATTCCTACTGAAATGCAGTCCCATAACTCCACTTCTCTGGTAATTAGAAACCTTCTAATTTCCAGCCTAAATTTAATTCATGGCCACATTATACCCATTTGTTCTTATGATGTTGTCTTCTTGCTTCATGGTTCTGTTCCCTCTCTGCTGTTAATCCCCTGTCCAAAATATATGTCTAGACAGCAATCATAGACCCTTTCACCCTCCATTTTTAGGCTAAACCAGGGCTGTCCAACTGGTGACCTGCGGGCTGCATGCAGCCTAAAAGGGTTAATCCTAGCAGCCTTCTTTGCATCTGCTCCAAACTAAATTTTCTTCATTGAAAATGGATGACCAGAATTGCATGCTTTCCAAATTACATCCCACATTATTTTTGCTTCCCCATCTCAGTTAAATATAGGACCTGTTACATCTTATCATCACATTTAACTTTTTCATAACTACATGACGTTGGTGGCTCAGTCATCCTGTGATTGGCTAGTACACCTTTGCCTTTCTTCTCCTCGGTTTTTTTCTAACTGATGAATCCCCAGTTTTATTAAAATGGTTAGAACTTCAGGAAACATGACATGAGGAAAGGTTGGAAGAACTGAGGTTATTTAGTCTGGAGAAGAGACAACTAACTGAGGGAGTACTTGATAACAGTCTTCAACTACAAAAGAGGGTTATTATAAAAAAGACTAGCCAATTGCCTGTCAAGAATGACACGGGGGAGTGGGTGAGGATGGACCATCCGGGCCCACTCCCCCTTTACCTCCTGCTGCTTGGGGTCTGGGCCCGCTCCCCACCTCCCCGCCATGGGGTGAAGGGAGGATTTTTCATAGACATCAGGGCTAGAAGGGACCTCGGAAGATCATCGAGTCCAGCCCCCCGCCCAAAGGGCAGGAAGTCAGCTGGGGTCATAGGATCCCAGCAAGATAAGCATCCAGTTTCATCTTGAAGGTGTTCAATGAAGGCGCTTGAACCACCTCCGGGGCAGGCTGTTCCAGACCTTGGGGGCTCGGACAGTAAAGAAGTTCTTCCTTATGTCCAGCCTGAAACGATCTTGAAGTAGTTTGTGACCATTCGACCTCGTCATCCCTTGGGGCGCTCTGGTGAACAAACGTTCCCCCAGATGCTGGTGGTCACCCCTGATAAACTTGTAGGTGGCCATCAGATCACCCCTGAGCCTGCGCTTTTTCAGGCTAAAGAGCCCCAGGACTCTCAGCCTGTCATGGTAGGGTCTGCTTCCCTGACCTCTGATCATGCGCGTGGCTCTTCTCTGGATTCTCTCAAGCTTCTCCACATCCTTTTTGAATTGTGGATCCCAAAACTGGACACAGTACTCCAGCTGCGGCCTCACTAAGGCCGAGTACAGGGGGAGAACGACGTCCCGG